GTCCACTGCGAATGCGCTTTACGTATCAATCATCGAATTAGTCTGGTTCCCAGACCAAAAGATTCTGACTACTCCCGATAAATCTTAGGTCCGGTAGCCTCCAGTAATACATTGTATTACAATTTACGTCACGTGACTAAAACGGGAGGAATTCCTCCTTTTTCCGAACATTTCCGAAGTTTGCCGAATTCGTTTCGTCGACAATCGGATAGCTCCCGAGTATTTATGAATATAATATAGGTTTAATTAACTGCTATAAATTGCTTATTACATTGTTTTAAAAATGAGTTGATAATTAATATTCATTGCTTTCATTTAGAAAACTTGAAATTCAACGACGATTTTATGCATCAAATATACTCGGATCGTATGGGCGAACTTTTTGCTGCTTCATGTACAATTTTGAATTTGACGACCGTTACTGAGATTTTCCAAAACTCGGTCTTCATTCGGCTCCGCCTGCTAACAGTGCTATTTGGGTGCCTAATTTTGAAGATTCCAGATCAACAGTAGTCAATGTTATCTTACAGAAACATCAAACTGTATTATCATAACTCTATGATATTACGAAGCAAGTGATTTATTTAAAAATTTGATCAGATCGAACATTAAAAGCTAAAAGTGATAAAGCGAAATCGGAAACGAAGCCGAGCTTTAAAAAAGGGCCATCAATGTCGTCATGTTTATTTTTAGCCACGGAGGTTGCCTGACCTAAGATTCATCAGGAATAGTCAGAATCTTTTGGTCTGGGAACCAGACTATCGTCGAACCATCGCACTGGTGTAGTACGCACGCGCGAATATCGCCATAGTTGTCAAAGTTGTTCAAAATGCCGTAGATTGTAAAAGAACTTAATGATAAGTAATGTTGAGCAATATTCTTCTGGTGAGCTGGACAAACTTCTCCGCAGATTTTATGCCAATGGGCGTACTGCAATTCAACAACTGGAAATGTACGAGGTATAGTAAAAGAAATATAAAATTTCGGGTGGATAGTCTATAGCTCCCCTCGCCATAGTTGTCAAAGTTGTTCAAAATGCCGTAGATTGTAAAAGAACTTAATGATAAGTAATGTTGAGCAATATTCTTCTGGTGAGCTGGACAAACTTCTCCGCAGATTTTATGCCAATGGGCGTACTGCAATTCAACAACTGGAAATGTACGAGGTATAGTAAAAGAAATATAAAATTTCGGGTGGATAGTCTATAGCTCCCCTCGGTATTGGAAGTTGATGTAGCATGTGTTATAGCGCCCTCAATTGACCGTAGTGCATACTTTCATTCTATATTACGCATTAGTTCAATATGTCATTACAGAAGCATCCCACGTTTAACTTTCTCGAGTGGTCTCATTCCTTATTCCAATCCCCACAACTATTAAGTTGACAAACTAGTTCCCACGGCTCCGCCTCGGGAATAAGTCTGATTACTTCAAAACCTCGGGTAGCTTATCTTCACTATCCATTTTCATGTCGTGTTATATTTGAATATACAAGCTCCCCCAGGTATTGGAAGTGGACAAACTAGTTCCTGAGACGAAACCGAGGGAAGTAAGATTTGAGGCTTTGTATGGTGGAGATACTAAATAATGAAAGGTTTGTGGAAACACCATGTGCGAATAATCTATCAACTAAGAGAATGGTTCTGAAAAGAACCAGAGGTAAACTCGACGTTCCGGTCAGTATGCTCTGACCGTCTTCAGGAGAAAAACTGAGGGAACTTATTTGTCAAATTCCCATACCGAGGGGAGTTGATATGGACTATCCACCCGGAATAGACCATGTTATATTTGTTTTACTATACCTCATAGTTCCTGGATATTCGTCTGACAATATAATTATAGGAGTCCATGTCTCCAGAGAGACTCCGTAGTGTTTACGAAATAGCATGATTTCATCATTTCTATTTTTAGAGTGAAACAATCAAACAATCATATCACTGATATTCATCCACACGTACTGAAAGTATAGTTCCTTGCGGACAAGTTATTATTTAAACCAGATTTTACTCATCAACCCATGATTTATTAATTAAAGTAATCATAATTACATATGAGAATATTATTATCCTGTTATTGTAGGCAACACTTTTATTGAATGATGGTTCAGCAGGGTCCGGGGTTTATACAGCGCATGGTTTCTGTATCCAGCGCCATTTTGGATCCAAAGATCGATCTTAGTACCCTGTGTTTGGGAATGCATGTGTGTGCAAGACCGTCCTTTTCGGATCAGCCACCTTTGTGTGAGACTGTGTGAGTACAGTTGTGTTCCTAGTTTTGGATTTTTCACTGAGTTCTGGATCACGTGAAATGAAAGCCTGCCTTTTATCTTTGCGATAAGATTTCTAGGAATAAAAAAAAATTGCCAGATTTCTGACTTGCACTTTGACATGTTTGAACGGCTTGTAAACAAATCATGGGAGCCGCAAATCACGGTAAATTTTCCTCGCTACATGTCACAAAGTTCGATTCCGATTATTTTTTTCGTACTCTATATAGCAATTATGAACTCTTGCATCGAATGCTTCTCGAATCCAAATAACTGTGAGTGTCCAGTATTTGAAAATTCGCCAAAGACTGAACGTATGTTTGTGCCTAGTTCCGCATCGCGCTTGTAAGTACATACCCAACTACATGCACGCAATCGATTTTATGTGACGTTTCTGTGATGAGTCAAAGGTTTATCGATCCGTCCGTGTTTTAAAGGTCGAGTAAATTTTGTCATTAATTTGTAACTTTTTTCTCGTTTGAAGCAACAAAAGTGCTCATAATATAAAGACGGGTGATTAACAACTAACCAAATGAGGTTTTACTCGACGAATAATAGCAAGGCCTTGCGTGACGTCGTAGATGATTATAATTACTCGGGAAATAAACGCCAAATGTGACACATTTTCCGAGGAGAACACCGTTTAACCCAACCTCGTTTTTAATCGGGCTTTCATTAAAAGGTTTTAGAGAGACGTGGTCCCGAACCGATTAAACAAATACGATATTTCATAGTTCATTTTAAAGCTAATTGATATTGTGCTCGGCGTTAGGCCAAAAAAAACCCTCCGGTTTCTGGTATGCGCGCGCGTCGCCGTAGCCATGCGCGTCGGCAAAATTCAAAAGTTTTTTTTTCAATGAAAGATGATGTCTCAAAACCGCCAAACTCACTGGTTTGACTGGAATCCTGCTGCTGCACAATTTTAACGTGTTTTTAGATTGGGTTATGGTCGAGAATAAGCTTTATGTGGCCTCTCTGGACTCCCATATATTTGCACTAAGTTTAGTCGGGCACCATTTGCAGTCATCAGCCAACATTTGAAGCAAAAAAATCAGGTAAAAAAAAAATCAGGTAAAAAAGAAAGAAAAGCCGCGTCGCCGCACCACTTTTTGGGCAAGCTCCATACCAGAAACCGGAGACTTTTTTTGGGCCTTAACATGGTTATGTAGTTATCACTTATCAAAATTCAATAATAATGGCCAACAACGTAGAATCATGAATATTCAAAAATATAATTAGCTGGCTTGACAGGACTTCAACACCAGATCGGGTGCAGAGCCCTGCAAATTTGAAAGCCACCGCACCCAGGGGTCTTTGTTGACCAGTATTCGTGATGTCCTGTACGGGCCGTTATCTAACCAGGAGTTAGGCTGAGTCGTTAATCCTTGTGTGTAGGATCCGTGATTCACACCCTGAATATATTTTGACATTTGGCATTAATGACATTACTGCATTTTGCTTTCCATGTACTGAAAGCGATGTGCGCAGTAACATGTTCGTTCTCACACTAAGCAGAAATGGTGGTGTTGGTGGTCCCTATAATTATAAAGAACAAGAACTACCGCTTGTATTCTATGAACGGTTATACGTCTTACATCTACATATAAAAGGCAAACTTTGTGTACAGTTGCACCAGAGCTCTGCCTGTTATCGTTAAGCTTGAACTTTGGCGGTGTCTGCACACTTTATATGCTAGCCAGTAATTTTTGGTACAAGAAGCGAAATTGCTATAACATTGTAACATTTGAAGTTTCTATTAGTAAAGACGGAACAATATTAGTAATCACTTTCTTGGTAAACAGTTGTTAATGGAATTTTAGGGAAAGATTCCACTTTGTGTATGTCTCTAAGGCATACAGTTTTATTGACAACTATCCCCATCTAAAAGTATATCGATTGAGTTGTCTTTTGTACCTTATAACACGGCATCCCCTGAGGCACTTGGGAAAATTCTTGCCCATTGTCATAAGCAGTGGCATATCCAGGGGGAGGGGAAAGGGGGCACTCTGCCCCCGCCTCAATTATTTCAATAAATAGTTAGAGAGATCTGACATCAATCACAGAAAAGAACACCCGCTCAAAAGCCACTACAATGCGCCGTGAAAATGGTTGTATAATTTGCAGTATGCATAATAATGGTCAGTTTTGAAGAGCGCCCAATTTGGAAGGTTGGTACCAGCCCCCCCCCCCCCCCCCCCCCCCCCGCTTTTTGATTTTACGGAGGCCAAGTGTCCGACGAAAAAAAATACAAAACATGTCCACATTTCGGCGCGGATGTGCGGTTCCCCCCTCCCCCCGACATTCAAAGCTGGATACGCTACTGGTCATAAGGGCGAAACGCTCTTCCAAAACCTTAAGTATCAGAGAGCTCCAGAGAGAGTTTGACTTAATTCTGTGGTCGACCTAGGCAGGCTGGGACCCACCCTCGGTGAATACTTGGATGAGTTAGATATTGCGAACAATTAGGCCTTGAGGGTCGTGGTAAGGTTTCTGCATTATAATGGCCCGTCCTTTGATGTTTCACTTTCAACGGATATAAAAACACCGTGTGCATATTTATGAAAAGCAAACGTTGCTGTGCTCAACCTTCGTAAATCCTGCTAAATCAACCGAAATACCCTGGTGTTTTTGTTTTAATTGGATACAGTCAAATTTGTTGGATTCACAGTGATCCACAATTAAATCCAAACATTTATTTCAACTTTTCTGGATTTTTGTGTGTATGTATGCAGGTTTTGATGTGGAAAGAGAGCCAACACAATGGACAGGACACGCCTACTGAGTGTTGCTGTCTGCCTTCTTGTCCTGGCAACTCTTTCATTTGCACAAGGTAACACCTCCTAACGATATTTGGCTGATCAGGTACGACCGGGTCGTCTTTTAAGATCGTTAAGTGTTTTTGTTTGAAGGTATATCTTTTCTTTTCTGAAGGATAAGTTTTCCCGGCTTTTATGCATCGGCTTTAAGTTATTATTCTTCGCAGGTCTGGTGTGATGACTAAACATGCTTTATTTCACGGCACTTGCTAGCTGACTTCTTCTTTTAATTAGGCTACTCTTAAATTCCTCAGAGCTCTTCTTTGTCGACTGTAATGTTGCTTTCCTCACGGCACGTCATTGCCGACTATATAACACGCACAACACCAGCTTCGCGCCTTACCCGTGGCACTTGTTATAATTATAGCCGCGTCCTGTACAAGACTCGTTCGAACGAGCCACGTCCCCGATGAATGCTGGCGGTGTTAACTTTTAGAATTATGGCAGTGCAAATCTTGTCCACGAACTGCACGCGCATTTCAAGTGGCTAAACGTACATGCAAATGAATCACTGCGTACTAATTGCCATTGGAATATGCACATAATATATTTCATGTACAAAGCCTGTTACATATAATTAATACACAATATGCAATGCATGCTGCCGTTAAAGGGGTACTGCGTCCTGAAATCCTCGCAAATGTCATGCTTTGGATTGTTTACTCATTCTTTTTCAAACATTCTGGTTGATAGAAACCAACCTAATGTCTTACCGTTCCCGAGAAAAGACAAAAAAAGAAACCAGTTGTTTACAATTACATAATCGGACACGACGGCGCACGCACACGTGTTTAGCGTCATTTTCATTTAATGTACGATACACGTTGTGTGTGTCTTATAAATTTACACACAGCACCAATGCACAAATACACATCCGTTTTTGGGGTCACAAAAATTGACGAAATAACACAAAACGCCAGTTTTCAAAGGATGGTTGTCAGGATGTCTATATCTTGCTTTTGAATGTTCTTTCCAATTAACATCATTTTGTTCAAACGCGTTTTGTAGCCCAATTGGGCACTATTCAGGACGAAAGACCCTTTTACCAGTACAGTTGCATTATGTTAACCACATAACATCCAAGCCAACCCTTGAAGAAACGTGAAGTTGTTTTTCAGCATGTAGCAAAGCTTGACCTTTACAGTGCATGTACTATACATGGATGCTGTCGCTGAATGTCTCGCTAATGTGCCTAGCACAGAAGAGAGACAGCAAGAAAACACCACTTTGTACATGCCATTTGTAGTGGTTATACCAAACTCACTACATTAAATTTAGTGCTTCAATTATTTACGAATTAACTTCATGTAATACAAATGTGTACACAGATGACAGACAATTAATTAAAAATTAAATTCCATGCATTTGCATTTGTGACAAGAATGATGAAGGGTTGTTCTAACCAAATTCGTGTGTTCTTCTAACCAAATTCGTGTATCCGTGCAGTACTAACTTTACCTCTTGCTTCAAAATCGGAACTTTGCAGGGACATCGCCACCAAAGATAACGGGACAGTCACCTTCCTATTATGTGGTATTACCAAAAGAGCCGACAGAAATCGAATGTGTGGCAGAAGGGAGTCCAGAGCCAACGTAAGTACCGCTAAATAAGCAGTGATACATGTGGGCAGTTCCAACCTTACGAACATTACATCACGGATCCTACACACAAGGATGAACGACTGTTCTGAGCTCCAGTACAAAATGCACTGAAAGGATTTATATGAAGCCCGGGAAGGGACAGGATGCAATCTTTTTTTTTTGTAATTTGCTTATTCGTTCCCACGAATTCCTAACTCGTTTCCCACGAATTACTAATTCGTTCGAACGAATTGCTAACTCGTTCGCACGAATTGCTATTTCGTTCGCACGAATTGCTATTTCGTTCGCACGAATTGCTATTTCGTTCGCTAAAATTCCTAATTCGTGGGAACGAATTGCTATTTCGTTCGCACGATTTCCTAATTCGTGGGAACGAATTGCTAACTTGTGCATCCGGGAACGCGTTAGTAATTCGTAGGAACGAGTTGGTAATTCGTGGGAACGAATTAGCAATTCGTGCGAACGAGTTAGCAATTCGTGCGAACGAAGTAGTAATTCGTGCGAACGAATTAGCAATTCGTGGGAAAGAATTAGTAATTCGTGCGAACGAATTAGTAATTCGTTCCAACGAATTACTAATTCGTGCGAACGAATTACTAATTCGTGCGAACGAATTAGCAAACTCCCCCCAAAAAAATTCCACCCTGTCCCTTCCCGGGCTTCATAGTATGACCTTAGTTTCTTTGGATGCGTAATAACGGGCCTTAATTCATGTTAACATGTAAATCGTCAACACATGGCCCCTTCATAAAATCTCGTTTAAGCCCGTAAGATCTCAAGACGCTCCTTGAGCTCCGATTGCGATAGAAAGATCGTTAGAGAAGTACAGCATATACTTTCTTAAAGGCTGTAAGAAGGTGAATATGCGTGATTTCCAAGGTATGAACATATATTTCACCCATTTGGAAGACTTTTATTTCATCATTTGGACATCGCAAATGTTCCACGCGTGGCATTTTGTTTGTTTTTCGGGTGACATCTGAAACGGAACTATACATAAAACTGTAAGCAAAACCACTCCTTGGGAACAGATACACTTGTCACACAATTATTAATAAACAAATACACAATTACTAATAAACAAATACTCCAGGATATAACCGATGGTATTGTACAGTTTTTGTCTTCATAAATGAAATATTTATCCGGTGAAAAGCGTCAAATGTGACATCTTTTTCGATCAGTTTTTTGCACATTTCATTTTATTTCTTTTTTCATACAAAATGCCGCCTTTTTTCCAGCGGGTGAAATTGTTTTGTTTTTATTTTTTAAATGTGTGTGTATATGAAAACAGGTGATACAAAATGCCGCCTTCCAGTTGGTGGGATTGCTTTAATTTTTTAAGATTTTGTGTGAGTACGAAAACAAGTGTTTGTTTTTATTAATATTTTCCCTCATTTGATATTAATAAGATTCACACTGAGAACACCATTTACCCAAATCTCGTTTTTAATTAGGCTTTCATCAACAAGTTATCAGAAAATGTGGTCCCGAACCGAAAAAGAAAATGCGACATTTCATAGTTCATTTCAAAGATGTAGTTATCACTTGTTAGAGTTCAGTAATAAAGGGCAAAAATGAAAGATCATGAATATTCAAACAAATAATTAGCTTATCAGAAGTTAGACACCAGATCGAGCGTAAAAGCCCTGCAAATTTGAAAGCCTCCGTGAGCAGTGTAGTGAAGCGATTATTGTCTGGGTCTTTGTAGACACCAGCATTCATGGTATTCCCTCATGTATACGGTCATTCTTGTGTGTGGGATCCGTTATTACATTCAGAGTCCACAGAACAATATCAAATAGAAAGATATAGTTATAGTTAATAAAGAAAATTTGACTTAGTTGGCACAGCTCTAGCTCACACCTTAGTGTATAAGCTCTGTAAACAACCGTTTCGGTGGTTCCGTATTTGGCCTTAGGTTTTGAATTTCAGTAAGCATTGATAAAACTCCGTAAAGCTCCTTGCGAGAATTAAATGAAATATTGTATGTAGGTGTTGTGGTAGATATAGCTTCAATATATAAATTAAAAAAAACATCCATGACGTTATACACAAAGCTGCTTTAATGTAAAGGAAACATCGAGTTTTTCTTGCAACGTTGGTACAGTTATACCTGTGTGTGTCTGAATTCTAAAATCTGCTTCACTCACGTGGTCAAATACTGAATCATGGCATTCTTATTTTTCTGTATTATTAATATAAGGTTTAAAAATTGTCTTTGCCTAAAAAAAATTAAAAAACAGCATACTTGCATTTCGCATGCTAAAAAGAAAACGCCGAAATGACAATCAACAATTCATAAGTTTAGACCAAACAAGTTTGACCAAACAACTACAGTCCACTTTACAACCATGTCAACTTTGCACAGAATTGCCCATGTTCACGAGTAAACATTGTACCATGTGTAATGGCCGATTCATACTCGTCGCGAAATCGAAAGCGAACTCGGTTTTGTGACGTCATGGCAAGTATTCGCACTGCCAATGCGTAAACATTGAACATGATTGCAACTCGGGCTAATTTTGCAGCGAACGTTTCATGACGTCAAAATTCGCTTCGCATTCGGATGCGCATGAAGTGTGAACTGAGCTCAACGGCAAAAAAAAGTACACGAAAGAGTTTTTTGGCCGCAAAGAAATATGTACAAAGTTTGAGTATTTTATCGCAAGTTTATGAGCTGAAAACTTTGCAATGAGTGTAATTAAGGGCAGTGACATAAATGCACAGGGGTACAACTTCAAGAAGACATTTTCGTGACAGAAGATGCAGATCACATTAATTCCTCGATCATCCCCAGCATGTCATGAGAATGGATGCATCATGTGCAAGTAAAAATACGAGAGAGTCATTTTTCTTTAAAGTGTAAGTCAACTAGTGTCATTCACATTAATGTGTGAGCACTGTAAAATGTTTTGTTGTGCGCCTACACAGGTACCACTGGCAGAAAGACGGTGCAGATTTGGAAATCACAGGCGTGTATGCCCTTAATGGAGGCAACTTACAAGTACGACGGCCGACTGAAGCGACCAATGGGATATACAGATGTTACGCCATCAATGCGTATGGGGTGGCCATGTCGAACAAGATCGACTTCCAGATCGCCTGTAAGTATAGGTCTCGTTATCTGTTCTGGTGGTACCCGTAGTTAAAACAGATCTGGCTGGACAACACTCCTCTTTTCGGATAAATCAGTAAAGTTCCTTAGCATTCCGACATGTGAAGGACGTAAGTAACTAGATCAGCATCTGACGGTTTTATGAATTAGTCCCCACCCAGAAAACACATAATGCTGTGATAACATTTTTGTAAAGTTGTACCGATGTTATATCTATAACATTCAAAAATTACGTTTTAATGACTATATAGAAACATCATAACATACATGTATACACAAACATTTGAAAAAAAAAGTGATTTACTATGCCTCAAATTTGACCTTTTATCAGGTATATTACAACGATACTATCAAAACGTTATTACCAAATGTTTTTAAAAAGCTTTATGGAGGACATTTCATGACATATACAAAAATGATTTAAAAACGTAATTAAAATGACTCAAATTTAACGTTTTATCAGGTATGTTAAAGCGATAGTATCAAAACGTTTTTACCAAATGTTTTAAAAAGATTGATCGATGAAATATCATGATACTATACAAAAACATTTTAATTACGTGATTTAAATGCCTCGTGTAAGACGTTTTATCTAGTATGTTAAAGCGATATTATAAAAACGTTGTTACCAAATCTTTTTATAAAGATTTATGGAGGTATTACACTCAGACACGAATACATGTACAATCAAAACATCATTAACCAAAATATTGGATTTGCCGCAGCCTGAATGTGTTTATTAAATCTTTATGCCAAATCAAAGCATGTTTTGTTTTCCGTTTTACCATACGCACCACCAACATAAATAGACGGCCAGATACCAGTCTTTCATTGCTGAAATCTTTTGGGCAAACTGGCTCTTACAAACCATTGGGCTGATCAGGCCCACCGAACCTGGGGTATATAACCGGGCCCCCACTCCGGATCCACTTTAAACCGTACCTGTGGTAATAACGGTCCCCCACTCCGAAAACCACCTGTGGTATATCCACGCCCCTTCTAAATTGCTCCGAAATTGATGGGACACTTGTAAAAACTTTTAAAGTAATTTCCTTAATTGAAACACAAAGTTCGCTGGCATAAATAACTGGAATGCTTCGCGGTCGGAACCGACTTCGTGGAAGCAAACCCTAGCCGGCACAGGCTGGGTTATTGTTGTAAAGGTTTGGAATTAAACAATTATAAATCAATGTCAGCACATTTCACGGGACAGGCTCAGCGACCCTGGAATATGGCTTGCCGAACCCTGTCCCACGACCACAGTCGGCGCCACCCGCGCACTAGGGCGCGGCCCAAGGGACGAAGGACAGCCACCCCAAAGCGAGCAGTCCAGGGAAATGAAAATGTAGTCATCTTTAATAATAAAAACTACGCAAAAGACCATGTATGCAAGACTGCAGGTTGTCCCTAAATAACTGAGTACCTTCCAGGGACAAATGAACTCCATCAAAGTGGAAAAGCTGAGAAGGACACGTACGTCTCAAATTGAGGATGATGTAAAATGTACGCATTCAATCTGTAAGCCATAGCCCTGGCCCATTTATTCAATGTGAGTCGTTTTTATTGATACTGGCATTGGACTGTGCGCCGTAATAAAAGAGCCTTGGTAGAATATCGGACCAAACCAGGCAGACAGATGGATAACGAGTCCTGAACTCTTCCATGAGTAACCTAATACGCTGGCGCATACAAAAAGTATCAATGGAAACAAGGTCATTAGTACCTAGGTGCATTATTACGACCGTAGGAGCTATGCCATGAGCCATAGCATCAAGGCGGCTTAACAGTGGAAGAAAATTGCCTATCCCTGCCCCCACCTTTTCCCATCCAGTGTATTTGTGCCTCGCAATCCAGGTTCTTCCGAGCTCTGCGAATAATAGAATCACCCACGATCCAAACTGTATCTGTACATAGTGATAAAATTAAAATAGAAATTTTCGCGGCATGACCATGCAGTTACTCCAGGAAAATGAGACTGCGGAATTGTTGTACAGGTATAGGTGTTAACCGCATCCGAACGCTAACGACCGATATTTTGGAATTGCAGTTAGGGGCCCTGAAAGTTGCGGTCGTAACGCAATAAACTTGTGGAATGCCCGCACGGGACAGATACAAGAAACCTCTAGTTGGGTCTGGAAATTATTTACTTTGGAAAATAGCCTACAACTGATTGATAAGTTGCTATAGTAGAAGAGACTTTATAGACCCAGTAATGAAAAAATACCATAAATTAACAAATGACTCCAAACGTCTCTGGTAAAACATTGGTAGATCGGTGTGTAGGAAAATTTAGAAATCTTTTCAATCCGACCGATACTTGGGCGATAATAAGGCGATAATTGTCGGTTACTGACTGAGATGGAAAACGGGGAGAGGAGTCATGGACAATTCCGCACTCGGCGCGGCCTGTCGAAAACGATCCATCTGGAAACGTGATAGAAAGTCAGCAATAACATTGAATCGACCGGGAACATGGACCGCCTTGAAAGAAATATTATGGCATAGACACTGACAGACGAATGAACGGACTAGCTGCATAAGTTTGTCACATCGCGACGATTGCTTGTTAATAATATGAATGTAGTGAAACTCGGTGTGGAGTCGAGGTTCAGGGGTGATGATTCAATCACATCAAATTTATTAGTCGTTTCTGCTCCCATTCATCACAAAAAAACCTAGTAATCAAATACATTAAAAATAAATCAATATAAACTCACATAACTTCACATACATGTGAATGTATCCCATTAATCACAATACATATGAGTACAAGTAATAAATTAACCCTAGAAAATTACATAGTCCAACCCATACAAAGAACTCCATTGCAAATACAACAGCCTTCCCACATTAACATACATGTATGACATGTGACCTCTGACCCGGTCGGCGTCTTGGAAGTTACACTTTCGTTGATAGTAAAACCACCAAAATAACATGAAAATAATTCAATTTGTCCCATACCAGCCAGTGCACGGGCTCCAGGGCTGTCTCTCCTCCCTTTGGTGTCTAGCAATACATTCCAGCCATCGGCTGTCAGGCTAAATTGGTCTGATAATAGTTGCTAAAGCAAGCTTTCTGCAGCTGTCAGAAACGCAGACCTCGGAGACAGTGCCCGCCAAACCCGCTTACGTAAACAGTTGTTTAGTATTAAGGCGCACACGATAAAAACATCATCTGCTCTATCCTACATTCACATATTTTACAATATCAGAAATTTACTTCTGAGAATACAGCACTTCATGAGAGATAGAACCCCTTAGTTATCTATTATCGTCAAAATATCCCCTTACTTGGCTGATGAACGTACTATTTCTATATCCTCATAACCCCTCAACAAATTCGCGGAAGTTTGACCAGTTAACTTAAACAGCGCCCTCATTTGACCTAACGGGCAAAGCAAATAAATAATTTCTAATCACTACATCTCTCCCCTTCTTTTGGTGATCTACTCCTGGAGATCAATTTAGGAAAACACTTTTTTTAAAAACAGCAATAAAATGGGATCAGTTAACAAGAAAACATAATGCGACCAATCTGGCTCTGTTTACATACATTGTTATAACTCTAAAACCATACTATCTGTTGAGCTGTCTGACCCATCATTTTAACGCTCATTACATTTTCTTTCATTAAAGCACAAAAATGTTAATTTTGGCAGGGTATAACTTAAACGGCCCTCCGTCGTGACGGGTCTCATATACAATATAAATATACCCTTCTTTCCAAAATCTTAACTGAACTTTTATAGCAATACTCAAACTTTGAGTTAGGACAAACACATCGTCACTCCTAGCAACGTCAAACAAGTTACTATAATCACAGAATCCTGAATTCAAAAAACTTGATCAACTGTCTGAGGGTTCTCTCATAGTGAGCCATGCCTGCAGGGTTCAGATGCACACCATCCAGGATGTACTCAGGGTTCTTTAAGGCCCGGTGTTTCCACACCCACCATCTATCTTCTACAAATGTGGAACCCTCCAACAACCTGTTAAATGCTTCAACCCTTGCATTAAATTCATCAAGTGAGACTTGTGAGCTTCGCATGGCCCCAGTGCGGGCCAGCACAGGCAAAAATACAATAGCCTCAGGTTTGATATTCCACCTAGGAAATTCGTTAATAAGATTGCATAAGGAGGCATGCACCATCCCAGGTTGATTTTCTCTTGCACAGAGATCATTAGTTCCTAAGTCGAGGACCAGCACCTTTGGTGATATCATACCAAGTGGTCTCAAATACCGTCGAGGGTTTTTCTCTATTCGGTCTATAGTGAGACCCCCTTCCCCCAGACACTTAATCTCGTACGTTCCACCTGACAAAGCTACATAAAAAGATCCTCTCCTTTTATTAAGGCGTTTAACAAAACTATGTCCAAATAGCACAAAACTCATAGTAAATACAACATGAATAAAAAGGAGAGCCAACCTGGGCCCCTACATATAGGAAATATACCAGTTACCTAACTTGACTCTGTCATCTGACATTGTGAAAATTAAGCTGCGACGACATCGTACGAATGAGCAGCGCTGGATCTGGTCGGTCTTAAGAGAACCGGATACCCTAGCCTTCTCCCAAAACGTTCCAGACCCCCAGCGACACCCATCCACCAACTGATGTCGTCACCTCACAGTAAACACAAGATTCTATCAAATTCAAAGCAATGCTGACCGGGGAAGTCGACATGGGTTTCGGTGTACCCCCTTTGTCACCCTTTCGGATCTTCTTAGTGGAACAGAAGAGCTTGAGCCAGTGACTTGAGCTGGCTCCCCTACTTTTCCACTCCCTACTTCCCTAGAGCCATTAGCTGGAGGCCGGCCTGGCAAGCAACCCGTGTCAGACACGACAACATCACATAATGAATCCTCCTCGGACTCTTCCCCACTGTCAGACTCCGGTTCTGCTAAAGGGTCTAGTAGTAAATATTTCCTATTTACTGTCTTCTGTTCGCCTCCCTTAGCCGGTCGAATGGAACACACATCCCCTTG